TTCTGCTTGTTGTTTTGTCATCTGGCTAGGTCTCGCAGGTTCACACGGGTTTAGTGGTCAGTTGCTTTTGTAGCTTCTTATAATTGCAGCAAGAAATGAGCCCCGAGTCGTTCAGTGCGATTGTCGCTGTCGTTGACAAGAGTCACATTCTTTTGGTAGTCTTTGTTTAGGCACTTGTTAGGTGTGTTCCTCCTTGTCAACCTTTGGGTTGTTTGTTAGGCTTTTTAGCCCTCAGTTGTATTCGAATTGTGTTTGGGAGTAGTAAATTCTATCGTTTTGGCAAAAAAATAAAAATGAAACTAAAATTAAAAACAAAGAAAAAATGGGATATTGAAATGAGATTTTCATTTCCAATCAAATCAATTTATCTTTGATTGGATATTTAAGGTAATTTATTTAAGTTAAAAAAAATATTTACACCCTGCTCAAAAAATAGGCTAAGTTTTTCATATCGCCAACTAATAAATTAACTTTTTCAATTCACCAAGTGCGAAATGTATTATGCGATAAACTATGCAACAGACAGTCGAATATACTTGAGCAGGTGCTTAATACATATGTGATACACTATGCAACAATCAGACAAAGTTAATTTGAGCAAATGCGAATTAAATATGCGATGCCAGGCGAAGTTAATTGAGCAAGTGCGATAAAATATACGACAGAAATGCGAAGATAATTGAGCAAGTGCTAAATAAGTATGCAATACACTATGCGAAAGACAGACAGAGTTAATTTATCAAGTGCGATACAAATATGCAAAAGAAAGGTGAAGTAAGTGAGCAAGTACGAAATAATTATGAAATAAACTATGCGAGAGAAAGGCGAAATTAATGGAGCAAGTGCGAAAAAAATTTACGATAAACTATGCGACAAACATGAGAAGTTAATTGAAAAAGTGTGAAATAATTATGTGATACACTATGCAACATGACGCAAAAATAATTAAGTGTAAAATAAATTATGCGATAACCTATGCGACAGACATAAAAATTTAATTGAGCAAGTGCGAAATAATTATGTGATGGCTATTGGACATACAAGTGATGTATTTGCAAAGATATGTGTGAACATTTTGGTCAATCGCTGGTTTGTCGCATTACGACACGCAAATCAATTTATTTTAAACAATTATTCGTATGCAAATGAACATGTGACATTTATGCAAATCTTCCAGCTTGTTCGCTTCTTGTTTTTCTTGGACTAGCCGAATGACGCCCTCTTCCAGCTTCTTGCACTTATTTTTACGTTTTTTTCACTTTCTTCTCAATTTTCAAGTTTTCGTGTAAGCTCGAGAGCGTGTTTCGGCCAAAAAATTTCGGTTTGCATGAGAGAAGTATTGGTTGTAGCTGCCCCATGCGGCCTGCCGAAGTTATATGCTTTAACAAACCTCTCATGGTCCACCATGTGGACCTCATGGCCTCTCTTTCCATTTTCTCTCTCTCTTTTTTTTTTTTTTTTTTTTTTGCCTCGTTACTTAGAAAAGTTTGAGATTGCATATTTACTTTATTTCATCCTCAATCAACTTAATAAGAGAACAAAATAATCTTTTTTCAAAAATATGACTGAACTTAGAAATTATCCAAGCTGCCTACGTACCTTTTAAAAGGATCAAGTCATAACGTAGTTCAAAGTAACATCAACATGAATTTGTTTATGGAGTGCCGTGCACAGTCCTACATTTATTTTACCATTGTCATATGATTATTTCAAACCGGCCGGTTTATCTTATTTCAAACGAATTGGGGGTGTTCGCCCGTCACATCTTAAATGGGTAATTAGGGCATATTTAGTAACTAAATCTCATAAAATTCCTTTTATACTTCATATTTCTAACATACTGCATCATCCAAAATTAGCATCATTCTTACTCCTATATTTATAAACCTCTAGTAACAATAAACCCCACAAAACTTTATTTTTTATGGGTCCTACATGTTTTTCACTTACTTTTAATTAATATTATAGACCTATAATCCACTTTTTATTTTTGTTCAATCTAAATGTTTCATATATTTTAACATAAATACATATAAAAAAGATATATAATTATATTTACATTATTTAAAATTATAAAGTGTTAATTACGTATCGATGTATAGTTTTATTTAAAACAATTACAAAACATTGAAATTACAACATATTTATATATTATTAGAGGATTATGTTGTTAATTACCGGCATGTATTTCAGGTGTTGCAGCAGCAGTAGCATTAACAATGACAGTAATCGTGTGATAATCCAACGAGACCGCGTCGAAAACAGTCTGTCGGACACAGTTGGGAGTTTGAACACCTAAAATGAAGTTTTCAAAAAACAAAAGTCCAGTACGTGTACCATTATGTACGCGTGTATAATAATATATGGCACGATTGAGATGTTATGTTCGATTTTTCCATATGATTTCGTATTCTAATATTCATTCGTATTCTAATATTCATTAATGAACTATATAGAATAACTAAACGACAAAAGATTGGATTGCGAAGAAGTGGAGATTTTACCAACAACTACAAGCTTCTTGATACCAAGACCCTGAAGATAGGAATGGAGGTGCGTGTTGAAAAACGCGCTAAACCTCGTCTTCACAAGCTTATAGTCACCATCTCTTATATGTAGCCCCTCAACCAGTTCTGCACCCACACTACCCTTAGATGCTGGTTTTGGTTTATCGGTAGAGTAAAAATGCCTTCGAAATAATTCAACGTCTCGCCCCAACGAATCGTGCTCCCGAACAACCTATAAATGTCGTTTTTCTTTTAAATAAAGTTAAGTATGAATGATAAAACTGCAAAATAGTTAGGTTTGCCTTGGGACATGTTTGGACCTATGGTCTTAATTAGTTTTTGTCCATTTTTGTCTTAGTCCTGTTTTCATGGACCAGTGCCAAGTAAATATATAGATTGACTACCTTTCATTTTTTTTTTCAATTGTAATTACTAATTATGCTAAACATCTAGTTGAAAGTGATTTTCAGAAAAGTGTTATATATTATCATCATCTCAAATACCACTTCTGTTAAAAAATGTTATCTAAGGCTTAATATAAAAAAAAGCATTATGTGAAAGGTTATTCATATAACGCTTAGCATAAAAAAGCATTATGTGAAACGTTCTTCACATAGCGTTATTTAAAGATATCGATCTTCAGATAACACTGATTCCGATAACTGTAACAAAAAAGTTTCTTGATATACATGCAGGCTTGAATTAAGAGTTATAAGCCATTTCATGAGTCTTCCAAATTAAATGATCAACAGATTATGAGAATTACCCAAATTACGGGAATATCACGATTTCGAGCAAGTTCAACCGCCTTAATAACATTCGGTACAATGGATTCGCCACTTTTCAGATGTACGGGACTTGCTGGTGAAATGAAATCTTTCTGCCAAATAAACATATCAAGATTATAAAAGACAATAAAATGGCTAACCAAAAAGACAAGAGAAAAACACAATAATATACATGTTAAATACCTGATCAAATTATATGTTTAATGGTTCACATGTTAAATTATTGGTACATCGATGTTTTTGACTGCGCTGAAATTGTATTATTAAATTACAATTTAATTATATAAACATAAGGATGAGAGAAACCAAGATCTGAAAAGAAGAAGAGAAAAAAAAAAAGCATAGNACTTCAAGTTATGTTAAAATATAAAAGATAAATTATTTTCTATCAATTCTATGATCATTAGGACAGTTATTGACCCTAGACTCTGGCATATCCTGTCCAACCGGTTCCGTCCAGTTCTTTGAATTATTATTTGAGATTTGTCCAAAGGTGTCGACAATAATTTTATTTTATTTTTACGGTGTTTTTTTTTCAAAAGAAACAAGTAGTGAGCAAACAATTACGTTACCTGCATATCAAGTACAAGAAGGGCAGTATCAGTCCACTTCAAATTCATTCCTTCCAATGCCATCTTTTTAATTTTCCACATCTCATCATAAAATGATTTGTATGACTTATATACCCTAATTCACAAATTGGAGATGTGGACGATTCAATTTTTTATTTTTTATTTTTTATTTTTTTATTTTGGGTATAATCTGTACCTAACCTCTTCGGCCACGTGCATATGTTAGGAATTTAATTTTGATTATATTGGTCCAAGTTTTGGCTGGCTGCAATTAAGTGCCTGTTCGGGAGTAATGTCGGCAAAGTCCATTTACCAAATGAACTTACCTAAAATGAACTTCTCTAGTCCGTAGAGGTGGTCGGCTTGTGTGTCGTGGTCCTAGTTTGCTTGGTGCTTTTGCCTGTAGATGGGAAGGGCCTGATTTATATTTATATTTTTGTGTGTTTAGGTTGTGATTGTGTGTTGGTTGTGTTTTTATGTGTTTCTCTTTGTTTTTTTGGTCTTATTATTTGGTTGGGATCTGTGTATTCTTCTGTTTGGAGTTGTTATTATTGTGGGTGTGTTGTGACAGTCTAGGCTCCCGTATGGGATGTCCTCTGACTAGATTCGGCTTTTGGCCGGTTTCTAGATGTACGTATATATTATTTTCTCTTTTATATAAAAGTCTATCGTTTCGGAAAAAAGAAAAAAATACTTCTTAATCCTTTACTACTAAAAATCGATTTATTAAAAAAAATAATTTATTCAAAAATCTATTTTTAATTTAACATCTAAGTACAAATATTTATTTAAATAAACTTTTGTATCCAAAAAATCCATTTGAAAAGTGTTTGGAAACAAGCTGTAACTTCTAACTCTAGCATGCCTTGTTGCTCATAGTTTACATCCCATATTTGGAAAATTTTCATTACTGCTCTACTAATTTGGACTAATATCTCTTTATAAATAACTAGTTTTTGACCATGTGCATTTTCACATATATAAATAAAATTAAATATTATAAGTTATTTGTATGCATATAATATTAAATTATAAGTTAAATAATAGTATTATATTTCAAACATATAGTATTATAAATTATATTTATGCCTATAATATTAAAATTATAAATTAGATAATAGTATTATATTTTAAAATTTGATCATTGAATAAATAGTACATACGATTTGACGGCATACAAATCACTATATTGATTGCATAAAATGTAATAAATATATAATGAAATAATCTCTATTTTTCTAGATGGAGAAAAATAGTAATACTCTAAAAGGATGAAATTCCCAATATCTATTTCTGGTTAGATGCTAAAATCATATCATTTGTATGTTGGAGAAATCGTTTCTTTTTACTCTTTGTCCATGGATAGGGGCTGTAGATATCGAAATTTTAGAAAACAAGAAATTCATTTCATTCAATGTTTTCTTTGTAATATCGTGCATTTTGAATTACAATAGTGTGATATATGCCGACTTCATACATCATTCTGATTGTGCTTACTTTTCTTTATTTCTTTTCTCCTTGTAAAATAAATCTTCATCGACTTATCTTGCTAACAGTACCTCCGTATCGTTGCATAGCTACAACTGGCTCACTGCAACGGGAGCACCGGAAATCCATGGCAGCATAACACCTTGTTCGAAGACAATAGTAACAATACCTGCAGTTATGTAAAAAAAAAAAAATTAGATTAACATCTAACATAAACTGTTTACAGAAAGCAAAAAATCACCAAATTTGGTTAGGAACATTCATGTTATCATGTCTTAAAAGAGATGCTATGAATAAAGACGGTCTGAATTAAGTAGAGTTTATTAACGAAGAGAAAAACAAAACGGCCAGATACTTATCATATATGAAATACTCAAAAACTCATTCGATATTTTTTTCCCTTTTTCTGTAGGTGGTAGCTCAATAAGTTGATATTGTTCATTTCTTTTTGCAGATTACAACCTCATGGGATTATTTTACTAGTACACGTGCAATGCAAGTGGTGGTGAATGATTTTGGCCAACAAAATTTAGTAAAATAAATAAATTAATTTGTTTATGTCATTGTAAGAACAAATAAAATGTACAACAAATGACCTCCTAATATTTTTTTTTCTTCAAAAATAACATAATGATTTCCTAATATAAAAAAAATGAAATAACATATTACAACTCCAATAAAAATATATGAAAAGTAAGTTCCTTATGATAAGAAAAACACTAAATAACTAAATAAGGACTTAATATATATTATAGATGCATTAATTCTATGTTACAGATGATTCGAGAGTAATTTTCTTTTCATTTTGGAATTGATGGTTCTCATTAAAAATATTTATACCCATTGGAGCCCAATATATCAATAGTATTGCAAAAAAATTTCTTACATTTGGCAAAACGTCCACTTTGTTCAAACACTTAGAAACACTTGGATATAAAAAGTTTTTGTTCTGATTGATTTTTTGGTTTGAGTTAGTTAAATTTAAAAAAGTTGGTATAATTAGTTGTTAGCCGGTATATTAAAATAATATTTAAAATCAAATGATTAAATTAAATTGATATAAAAATAGGAGACATAAGATGTGATTTGATGGTTAGTTAAAATTATGTGAGTTGATGAATAGTGAATTAATGTTGATATTGTGTGTAATAATGATTGATTGATAATATTTAATTATATTGATAATATTGATGATAGTGGGGTTGAGTTAAAAAAAGTGATTGAGTTAAAAAATGATTGAATTTTTGGGTTGAATTTGTATCCAAGCATGTGATTGTAGGATCTTTAGAAAGTATATCTACTAACAGTTCACAGTTCATGAATATCCCTGTGAAATAATCATTCGTGTAATTAAATTGTTAGTTTTTATTTTTTATCATTGTATAAACTAATACATTACTCTCTCTCTTCGTATAGACAAATTGGTACTTGTCTCATGGAGGAATGGGATGAGAATGAATTTCATCTCCAAACAAGAGTTGACTTTCCAAAATCTTAGTTACATGTACTTCTCCTTAAGAGCTAAATTATTTTGTGAAATCATGACACATACATGAAAGTACGTACTCTAAAGTAATTGCACATGTTTGAGCACAATACAACAATGAGATTGTAAATATTCCTATCAAAAAGTGACAACTTCATTCTAACATTTCAAAAATGTTCTGACAAAACAAAACAATGAGATAATATTGAGAAGCATATCATTTGTCAAAATATTTGAGAAGATGAGAACTAAAATTCTATTCTTAGTCATCTGTGAATTTTATTATTATGAAGTCATTATTAAAATCTACATTATGTATTACAAAGTTTACAATTTTTTGCTTTTTTAAAATTTAAAATTGATAATATAGGATCATTATTTATGAGAACCAATTTCTTAATATATTATAACGCTAGCAATAAAATAAAGTAGTGATTTTCAAAAACTTTGGTTTCTAGATACTGTATTCATACTTATCTAAGAAAATTCAAACTTTTTTCTTTCCCATTGCATTATTGTTGTTTTATTTGTTTCTTATTCTACTCATAAATAATATTATATTTGTTAAAATAATAAAAGCACATTTATATGTATTGCGTTATTTTTTGTGTGTGTTTTATATAATAACGTTGTTATCAAAATATCTTATTTATTAGGCCAGAACTAATATAATAACATAAGATAATATACTATTTCATAGTAAGTATTTATTTATAATAATAATAAATTTGATACAAATGTACTTTTATAAGATTAAAAGATTTCGGATTTTTTTCCAATGTTTGATAAAATATTAAGTAACTAACTCATTTTCAAATTTACAAAAATATATGTTAAAACCATTATGGTGTTTCCTTTCAAGCAGTAACTGAATAACAGTTTAACATACAACTCATTTATTTTTTCTTTTAAGTCATATAGTTCATGTTGGTAATGGTTGTACTTTTACATCTATTTTGTACTTTTTTCTTAATATGAATATTTCAAATCTATGTAAGAAAAATATACCACAATTTTATCTTGTGTTATTTTAAACTTAATAAAATTGATTTAACATGGATATAATTTATTTCACAAGATACTTTTAGTTTTGTTTATTATTTTAAATCAATACAGATATATATATATATATATATATATGTATATATTTTATATCGATAAATAAAATTTACAATGCATTAGTCATCGGGAAAGATATGATTGATATATTACATAAAAGATAACTAACAAAAAATATTTAGCAGCATCTTTTTAGAGTGGGTGGGTAAAACTTTATAGAACTTTTTATTGAAGTTTACCTGTGCTGACATGGGATTGCCAAAAATGGAGTGGTCGGGATCGTCTGGCAGATGGGACATAACGCTTCATCTCCTTCTGAGTTAGAAGATTTATCTTGTGAAAACGGACGGAGAATATTTTTAACAGATGATGAATTTAGAAGAGGAAGCAACAGCAGCAGCATTTCCTGCATATTATTAGTGGGTAATCACTTGAGAGTGTTTTCCGATTACATGTAAAGGAAACACATACATGCACACAGTAGAGACAGATCATCCTAGTTCACGCCCAAAAATCTAGCTTAACAGAAAAGGTCAATCAGCTACATGAAGAAAAGATTCCATAAAATAATAGACTACAGCTAGGTTAATGTAAGGCTTCAAATAATAGTCAAGGAGACATTTTTACTGCACTCGTGAAGGATAACTGGAAAGACCACAGAACTTTACACCAACTCAGTGCCACATGGGTACTAGGTGGAAAAATGATTTTAGGTAAAGTGAGAAGGAACTTTCCAACTGAAGGGGGTGGCGGACATTAGATGAGAAAATTGAACATTAATCATATGCTTGCGTAAAAATATTTAAATAAATGTGTGCAAGGTATGATGTAGAACCTTACCGAGAACTCATTCCACACCAACTGCCGGTTCATGTACTCAAAGCTTACAGATCGGTTCATATGAGTGCTCCCATAGACGAGTCTTGCCCGTAAGGCTCTTTCAATAAGGCTCCTATACCTGTGTAAATGTGTATGTAATTATTAGCTGCAACCTCATTGCTGGTGTTAATAAGAAAACAATTAGTTCCGTATTTAATAAAGCCTTTGACAGGTTGTGCAGATGTCTGATAAACCCCAAACCTTAAGCATACAATTAATTAACCATTAGACAGACGGATGGGAGAGAGAGAATAAAGAAAAACAATAATAAATGAATGTTCGGGAGGATACCAAACATAGTATTCACAGTCATATTTAACGCATAGCACGCTAACTAGAAAATTTATGCATTTTTGGTCTAAGTCAGACGTATATAGACAAATAATGTTATTGAGAGCACTTCCAATACAAACAAGCTATCATAATATGTATGGTGAGTAATTAAGAGTCTTTTATACCAGATATAAGCATGAAGTAGCATGAAGCATTCAGTACACATTTTCTCTTTCTTTTTTTCCCTCCAATTCTTATACCCCCCCTTCCCCCCCCTGCTGCCTCACAAAGACAGCAAGCTTAAAAAAATATGGAAGATACTCATTAAATTTCCTATCAATCACTCAGAACCAATGTCAATCATAATTCATAAATCAAATTTTTCCCCTCCTTTGCCAACGCGTGTAACAAAAAACATATAAAAGCACAAAAGACTTGGTTAAATCATATACCTTCCTGTCAAGAGAAATAGGAGTAGATTTCCAAAAGATGCAGCCTTGTAAAATCCTTCTATGCGTTGTAGCAGAAACCAGATACGACGAGATAGTGACCTCTGGCAGGGAAAGGAAACAGATACTGTTAAGACTGCTACATTTTATAACGAATATGCACCCATTTGAATATGTGTGAGTGAGTCATTGCACATACAAGTCTCGATAAAGTGAGTGTGAGTGTTATGCGTGCCACAAAGACAGCTATGGCAACACTTTTAACTATATCATTGCATGATCTTAAAGAGATAAAAATACTTGATCTGTGTCGCCCCATCTACGGAAAGCTGAAAATGATTGAAGGCGAGCCCAAATATATTGACCACCAACAGTGGCAATACAGTACAGGATCTTCTGAGGAACCGTTAATCCTGGCCCTTCTAGTCCCGTTCTCACTGCAAAAAATGTAAGGAAGAACATATCCATTTACCATAGTAGCATGAGCAATTTAAGCAAAAATATTAGTGACGGGCTACATAACAAATGTAGGAGATTATAGAAAAAAAAAATAGAATAATAGATAATTTTTCATCAGCATGATCGCTAAAATGTGAAGTGTGTCTTCTGTCGTATCTCAAAGATTAAGCTATAATATAAAATGACATATAACCATATATCAAGTTAGATAAAGGAGTGAACCCATGAGATCAAAACTATTATCAGCACTTAATAATAATAGAAGTAACTCGACATGTTTGCCATTCAAAACAGAATGTGGCCTGCATGTGAAGCGTGTGCTAAAGATAGAAACGCGAAAAGCTTCTGTAATAGCAATTGAAAATTTTACATGTGCAGGATATTTTCCCACGGTTCTTACACACCAAGGCAAATGTCAAAAGTTTGAAGTTTCCACCACTGTCCCCAAAGTACTAGAAAAAGAAAATTATATGCAGCCTCAAAAGTCAAAACGAAGGTATGTTAAAAACATTAAGATGAAATGACCTCTACTATCCGCTTTAGTAAAACGGAATATGAATTACAGGATGAAAATTACGAAAATGTCTCTATGGCACCTTTACAGGAGATAGTGACACGCTAAAGTGCAGAAAGCTTCCACAATAACGGCCTAGCAAACAGACACAAATTCTTCAAAATAGACGTAACCAAATAAAACTATCATGCTTCAAAGTTACTCTCTTTCCCAGCGAGAGATATATAATGAGAAGATAAATAGTATCTAACTGGTAGAATGATCTTTTTTATGTCTGAAGGCTTATAATCTCTAAAGTTTCATCTAGATCTAGAGAGAAGGTACAATCGAGTTGTCTTCTCTTATATGACAATCCTTACAAAGAGAATCTCCTAACACTCAAAAAATATACACTACACCTCTGATATAAGGTTACTTGCCTTATACCATAAGATAAATCTATGTACTGTTGAATGAATGTTAGGAACAGTACTAATAGCAACCAAAACATGTGATTCATGTGTAAATCAAGAATCTCATATAACAGTAAGAGTATATACTATATATAGAGCCATAGTTTAATAGGAAGCATAGGATAACTAAAAAACGACCAACCTTTTTCCCTTGCTTCGACTGCACGTTCATCTCTATACCTTAGATTCATGAGAGAGTTACCAGGAGTAGGCTTATCAACCCATATGGAAAATCTCCATATAAGAAACCCAAGAAAAGCATCGAGTTCAGGTTCGAATTGAAATGTCATTCCTGGCTAATTCCAAAAAAACAGAGTGGACAAATCAGCATGCATGTAATCTCCCTAATAATTCGTAAAAGCTTCTAGACTGAGTAAACAAGTTAGAAGCATGACAATTACCTTCATCAAAGAAAATACTTTAACCAACTGTTCTTTCAGCATGGCCGACATTTCAACATCCAGCCGAGCTGCATCAAACTGATTTACTCTAGATATCTCGACCGGAACTATCGGCTGTCAAAAAGACCATGCAAGGAAATTGCAGCAGAGTGTGAATGTGTAGTCAATAGACTTACAAATGTAAATCAAATACTTAACCGAAGTAACAAAACCTCACAATTCTACGAGTAAGTCCCTTCTAAGCGAAAGGTCCACCTATGTTACAAAGAAACTAGATTCAATAATCATGGGAGCAAGAAGATACGCTAGAAAGGCCATACTTTCTTAGATAATGATGCAAATGTACTAAAAATGAGTAGTGTGCGAATTTCTCAAACAGGCATACCGATATGGAAACTAACACAAATCGGATTATGTACTAGAAGTAGCTTTAGTTATGATCTATGGTCATCTCCTTGGTACTAGAACTAAACAAAAATTTCCCGACAAAGTTGATACATCAAGCACTCGACATTCACAAGGAGCATATATAGTTGACTAGTTACAACGAACTCTGGAACACAACTCAAAATATTCACATTACAAACATTTATCACTTAATGAAATACCTGCCCAGTTATAAACAAGACACATTAATCATTTAGGTTTTCACATAATACTTGAATAATGCAAAAGAAGGGCAACTACCTATTTCTAATAAAAATAAGAAAATCCTAAAATATGTAACAACACATGTCGAGCCAAAATCCTAACACCAGCTAACAAAACGTCAGTTAAGACGTTAAACCTAAAATTCCCTCGCAAGGCATACAACAATTCAGTAATTCACACTTCACTTGGTCAGGCTTCCTACGGTATAAACATTTTTTCTTTCACCCGGCACATTTTTCACCTCAATTCAGCATAAAACTTCCAAACTCAATAGAAAGGGAAAAAAAGAAAACCTGATCAGCTCAAGCAGGGGAATAAAATTCTTTACCTGGATACCGGAGCAAATAGACTGCCATTGAGGAAGCAGTTTCAGGCAAGTACTATACCACGCATCTTCCGGCGGTGGACTGATAAAGTCGCCACTGGTGGATGAAGATGAAGAAGCTAGGGTTTGTCTATCCATGTCATGAGTATGTTTCTATGTGTGTAGTGTATGTTCTTCTACCAGAATGATGGAATGCTTTTGGAGGAGAAAACTAAAGAAAGATGGTGGGCTTATTGTGCCTTTCTGCGTGTGTTTATCAGCAGCAATCGCTGCACTTTCTCACCACGCAGTTGTTTAATTAAATTAGGCCTTTTCTATATCAAACATAATAATATATAAAACTTACAAATAAAGTGAAATCGATATTTCAGTTGACCAGTTTTGCTATGGAACTATCGAATTGTTCGACTTATGAAGTCATCTACATTTATTACTTATTTACCAATAGTGTATTGACACGTGTCCTACAATAAATACAATTTGGACATGTGTCAATACATTAAGTAGGGGATGACTTCATAAGAAAACCATCCGATAACCTATAGAATTTTTGTTTAGTTGACATCATACTGACCAGTTTAAAGTATGAACCTATTTTCTCATGAGATTTCATAGATGACCAAGGGGAATAACTTACTAGTAAAGCGAGCAATGATTAGTTAAAATTATGTGAGCGGATGAATAATAAATTAAAGTTGATGTGATTTGTAATATTGATTGATTATTATTATTTAATCATATTGATAATAGTGAGTATAATGCAATTGAGGTAAAAAAAAATAATTGAGTTAAAAATGATTGATTTTTTTAAATCAAATCTATATCCAATCACACCCCAAGTTTCTTGGTGAAGCTCGACCAACTGCCAATCAGATCTTCACTCTTGCCTTGGAAGAGGTCGAGGAGCTGCTTAAAGCTCCTGACTTCTCGGGGTCATCAACCGTGAGGTTATCGTGGATCAGGTTCTCGACTATCCCGCGGGTTATGAAGGCGAGCCCGAGCTTTTTTCAACCATGTCTAGTGGACCTAAACGCTCGAACGATGCCTTCCCTGTCGCGAGCTCGAGAAGAAACTTGTCATTCCACCTACTCCAGCGGCGTCGACCTCTTTCCCAGGTTCCTCTTGAAGGAGGTCAAGCCTCGGTGGCTCAAGCTAAGGTCGTTGAGCCGAGGACCAGTGAATTGGCTCCTGAAAAGATCATCGATCAGACGACCTCTTCGACCGCCAATGTTGCTTTTGAGCCAACTCCAACGCCTTCTCAATAATTTCTTTGTTGTAACTTTTGTGTTAATTTAAAAAACTTTGTAATATGTCTCTTCTATTTGTCGCACGATCGACTTTATGTCTTTTCTTTGTAATATGTCTTTTCTTTTTGAGCGATGCCTTCCCTGCGCGGGCGGACTCGAGAAGAAACTTTTCATTCCACCTACTCCAACGGCTCAACCTCTTTCCCAAGTTCCTCTTGAAGGAGGTCAAGCCTTGGTGGCCCAAGCTAAAGTCGTTGAGCCGAGGACCAGTGAATCGGCTCCTGAAAAGATCATCGATCACACGACCTCTTCGACCGCCAATGTTGCTTTTGAGCCAACTCCAACTCCTTCTCAATAATTTCTTTCTTGTAAATTTTGTGTTAACTTGGAAAATTTTGTAATATGTCTTTTCTTTTTGTCGATGGACCTTTATGATTTGACTCCTTTTGTAATGAATTCCTCAGTTTTTCTTACTTAGATATTTTGCTATTAATATCAAAGTAACCTTAATGATCGTGACCTGCCTCTAAGGTCTCCACAACGAAGTCCATACTTGGGAAAAAAACAAATATTGTACATTCTATCCTAAGAATACTAGATTCGATCGTGGGGTCACCAAAACACACCTCACACTTAGAAAAAAATTTACATTTGGCAATTTATTCATCGAAAACAATTGACCTTCCACCGAGGTCGTAAAAAATTGACTCCATACTCAGAAAATTTTTGAGAGAATAAAGTCCCCTTAGTTACTCGACTTGCCACTGAGGTTTCCAAGATTGGCTCCGTACTTAGAAAAAATTTCGCAATTATATTGTGCTTGTTCAACCTGCCTCTAAGGTCGCCGAAGTTTGAATTTTGAAATGTGATCGTCATGCTAGCTTCGACTGAAACGTAATGTCATTGTCCTTCAATCTTCTTGCGAAGTCATTCCGACAAATGATTGAGGATCTTTGTTTTGCTAGATAAACAAGACTACCACACTTGCCGACTTGCTTTTGAAGTCGTTCGAACAAGCGATGTCAACTCGAAAGCCTTGGATTTTTGTCTTCTAGATTCCAAGACGCCCGATCTGCCACTGAGGTCGTTCAAACAAGCGACCAGCCAAACAAAAAATACAATTTGCTCAAAAGTCTCCCACATCACTCTTTCTGTCCGGACACCTTTAGATACACCATTTGTGCGTACCCATTGAAAACCGACCTCTGGAGTCGTGCTAGCCCAAGCCTATGAAGCAATCCATACATACCATCCTCCACATTAGGCCTAGTTGCACGGGCCCACACAGTTCGTCTGTATCCACAGCTTTCTCCCAAAACTTCTTTCTTCTGTCTCTTGTCCGAGCCTCATCCCTTTCTTTGAAGCAACTTTGGCCGCCGTCTGATGGAAAACAGACTTATAACTGTATGACATGAATGTCATCAAGTCGGCGATTAAGTGAAAACATAAATGTGGAAGGTATGAAACATTGAGATTAAGGACAACATGGAGGATGATTTATATGATGGATGAGAAATGTACAACACCACATAATTCTACCTTTTCTGAATAAATGTTTTTCTTATACTCGGGGAGATCAAGTGAGAAACTTCGGGGTAAGCATGATCTAACCTTCTACATATAAACATAGTTGGAGGATCCTAAGAAAAGGTCAAACAAGTGTATGCAGGATCCATCTTTGGCATAAAAATGTTAATGATAGTGACAAAAAAAAGGGCATGCATTTCCAAGGACTCCATGCTTATGTTACAGATACTAAAATTCATATATTCAAAGTATCAAAGACGAGAAATTCATGAGATGAATAGGAGAACACACCTCTAATATAAAATTGATCACATATTTGCCTGAAGGAATAACGGTCCCCAGTTCCAGTATCATAGTTGTCCTGAAAAACCAGATGTCTCCCAGTTCCAGTATCATAGTTGTCCTGAAAAACCAGATGTCTGAACCCAGCTTTGAGGGCTTGCTTCAATCCAGCCATCAATATATCAAAGCAGAATATTTATATAAAAAAAAATATTTAACGAACAAAACAAGGTACAGCCGTACAAGAACTAGGAAACTAAATAACTTGATTGTAAAAGGAAAAAAAATTGACAATATGTAGCTACTTCACTTCATCTAAACTCAGATTTTACAAAAACACCTTTATACTCCGTAATTCCAAATCAACCTCGTCAGCCAAGCCATCCTCCCCAAACCCCCTCAAACCCTTGCTCAGAACCTTTCCCAAGTAATCATCCATCTCACACCCACTCTTCTTCATCATCCCGTACATCCTGACCGTCGATTCCTTCCTGCCCGCGCCAATCAAAGCCTGCACCAGCCTCAGCAGCCCCTTGCTCTCGCCGCACTTGATCCCGCCCTCCCACTCCATCTCAAAGATCAGCCGATCGATCTCCTCTGCCAGCCCGTTCCTCGCCAGAGCCACCACCATTTCGGCGTACGCGTCGAGATCGGCGCCGTGCTCCGACCGAAGGGCGGAGAAAACCCGGGCAGCGACGGCGCACTGGTCCTGGCGGAGGAGCTCCTTCAGCGCCGCTTCGAGGTCGGATTTGATGAGGCGCGAGAGGATGTGAGTGGGGAGGTTTTCCGGGTCGGATCTGTGGGCCCGCTTGAGAGACTGGATGGCTTGGATTGCCTCGATGCTCAGGATGCGGCCCTTCATGAGCGGGCCGCGGTTGTTCCTTGGGCCGCAGCGCACGGTGGTTATGCGCCGGAGATTGGTGGATGTGCTGGCGGCGGCGGAGGAGAAGAGTAAGGTATTCAAGTGTGCTGCGGACGCCATCTTGGTGGGGGTTGCTTTTTATTTGTCGAGAATTGAGATTGTTTTCGAGATTGGTTTCAAAGAGTAAAGGATAAGATATGAGGGATATAAGCTAGTTTTGTTAAAATGATAAACTAGTTGATGATAAACTAATTTATATGTGATTTTTATAGGTTATAGTTTATGATTTATAGTTGAAAAATCTAACTTATATAATAAAATTGGAGAAAATTGTAAATTTGGTCCCAAAACTTTTGCTGTTTCTCACATTTAGTCCCAGACACGTCAATTATAGTCCTTTTTGAATTTCCGTTGCCAAAATGGTCCCACGTCCGTCAATATTAACGGAGCTCGTGTGAAGACGTTAGATTGGACCAATTTTGCAATTTTGGGACCAATTTTACAATTTTTCAAAAAAAAAAAATGAATTCTTCAAATTCTTCAAGTCTCTCTCATTCACTCAAAGCCGAAAGGACATAATAAAATTAATTTACTATGAATATTATGTGAGAAATAAATATTAAAAATAATTTTATAAAAATAAATATCGGATGGAAAAGTAAAGACGTTGATAAATTTTAATTTTGGGTGGAAAAGTAAACGATATAATTGCTAATTGTGTAGTATTTATTTTATTTTCTAATATTTTTACCGTCATTACTTAAAAAAATTAGCAATTATTTGAATATTATTTAAATTAAAGAATATTTAGAAATAATATTATTTTAATTAAATAAAGCAAACCAAAGACATAATCCAATTTATCAAAATAAGAAAAAATGTGAGTATGCTTACAATAATACTAATCCGTCTACACTTTTAAATATTAGTATAATGTGATAATTTATATATATATCTTTACAAACTTTATTAAATAATACGAATTAAAAAAAAACCTAATCTAAATAATTTTTTTATTACTGTCTATTTTTATTTTAATAATTTTTTATTTATCAATTTGATTTTGACAATTATAAATTGAAAAATCTATTTATTTATGCAAATTACATCTACATAAAAAATTTCAATTTTAAGCATAATGAAAAAAATTGGCAATAAATTAAGTGAAAATAGACATTTGCTCTCACTTATTTATAGTAAAATATATCATATACTTTTTTTTTTTTTTTTGCATCTCATTTATCATGAACTAATTAATAAAATTATTTTATACACCTTTTGTTAAGTTACCCAATTAAATAATCATTTTATGTAAAAAAATAAAGTTAAACTTTAATATAAGTTAAAAAAAAGTGAAAGAATTGTATGTTAGTTATATTTATCTTTTATAATTTATTAAAAAATAAACTAAATGTATTGTTAGGAAATAATGGTAATATACCTTTTAAACATTTACTAAAAAATTGTTAAAAAAATGTTTCTAATAAAAATAAATTTAAATAATTTTTATCACTTACTTTTTGAGAAAATTGCAAATTTGGTCCCAAAACTTTTGCTGTTTCCCACATTTGGTCCCAGGCTATAAACGTTGACCGTTAAGTCTTGACGGAGTGGGACCATTTTGGCAACAAAAATTCAAAAAGGACCATAATTGGCGTGCCAGAGACCAAATGTGGGAAACAGCGACCAAATTTGTAATTTTCTCAATAAAACTGTTTGATAAAATTTACTGATAAATTAGCTGAAAAAAATAATAAAATAAAATAGAAAATCATACTAGGCTAACCGATGTGAAAAGAGATTTAAATTATATTATTTAGTACTTAAAAATAAAAAAGGTTGAAAATAAATTTTAAGTAAGACATACATTTAAAATACCTTATATTAAAAAAAAAATGAACAAAAAGATTATCTATTTAAAATACCCTCCAATTCTTCATACTATATAACTAATCTATTATTGAGTCCGCGCCAATCTTCGTAGTAAACTCTCACTCAACCTAGATAATCATAGAATTTATTAAGAACTCTTATTCCATCTTTTTTTTGAAAAGAAGTATAAATGCAGTTGTTGCAGTAGAAATGAAAATGTCAAAATGGGATGAATCCATCTGTCAATCAAATGATAGTATCGTGTCTTTTTTGTCTCAACTAATCGCCGACATAAATCAGAAATAGTAGAAATATTTTGGAACCTTTTGTTTTGGATCCCGCCAAACTTGCAATGCTCTAATTGACTCCTCAATAGTGTAGCTCTTGTCTATTAAGATCATTAAAAAAGAATTTCTCAACAAGATTATAAATATCATCCCTATAAAACAACTTATTAAAGTTGTCTTAGGAACCAATATAAAGCTGAGCTTAAGAAGTTTATAGCATATCATTAAATCTGTTATTAAGCTCTTCCACTTGAAAATATCTTCACGAACTCTGGTTCAGGTCGACAAGTACATCGAGCTGCCTAAACGAGCTACCTAACTAGGTCAAACGCTGATAACTAGCTTAAGCTCCGTTGAACCAGCCCTATCCGAACTAACCACTCAAGTCGGTCAACCGAACTAATATGAGTGCTATATCAAGTGATGCAGAATAAATATAGTTATTATTATTATTATTATTATTATTTAGTAGATTGGTGAACAAGTTAGGTTTAGAGCTTTAGGAGTCTTATTTAAAGACTCTTTCTTCTTTGTTATTTGCAGTTAAGTATGAAATAAGAAATTGATTGACTCTTGTGAGTTTTATCGAGAGAAAATCTCGTTTATCCTTCTCACTCGTACGCTTCCCTACATCAGTTGGTATCAGCAGTCAGTAGGATTCGCGATGTCGCCGAGACGACAAGATGCCGCAAACAAACGATGTGATGCAACCTTCAAAGATCGATTTCAACAGATCGAATACCGATTTGAACAGTTGGACGTGCGTTTCACGGATTGGTTTGCAGATCTTTCGACGGGGATCGAGGATTTGCGTTTGACGCTTAACAACGTGATCTGGGATTTGCAGATGAACCGTACCGCCGGTGACCGGGGTGTGCGCCGGGGAGTTCACGGAGGAAGTGGAGGTCGTGTTCCAGGCGGAGCGTTCCGTCGGCGATCTCCACAACCGTCGCGTGGCGATGCAGACGGCGAGGAGACCATCTCGGAGGTGGATCCCTTCGGAGAGTGGCCGCTTCAGCCCATCGAGACTAAGCTCGTTGTTGCACACGTCGACCAAGATGTGCAGCAACAGAGTGCGATATTTTAGAAAGATGACGGGCTATAGTACGACGGTCCGCCTATTTTCGATGAGGAGCCTCCGGTGACGGAGACATATTTTTGCGGCAATATCGGTCCCGCGTGGGACGTCACAGAAATTGAGCCTTTGACGGAAATGTCGTCGTTGAAACCCGATGTTTGGAGTATCTTGGCCAACGATGGTTTTTGGGAGCCGACACCGAGGCTCAATAACTGGTGGGTCATTTTCCGATTGTCTATCGCTAAGTCTCCCAACAACGGGATGCTTGGCCGTAGTTATGGATTTGAGCGCAACGAACGATGTGGTATGTTTTGTGTTAATTCAGCTGTGTGGATTATGCGTATGAAGACGTGTACATGTGTCTTTGCAGCAGTTCAATCCTTGGCTGAGATTATGTTTACTTTCGGGGTTGTTGGGCGACCTTCAACCTTCGTGTACGATCGGGGGAAACGTTGGGCTATTCCTGGTATGAGACGTCTCCAACGGGAACGGATTCGAGAACGTATCCTGTTCAACCGGGAGAGAATGATGCAGAATAAATATAGTTATTATTATTATTATTATTATTATTATTATTATTATTATTATTTAGTAGATTGTATCTTGCTTCTCACAAGGTCTTTATAGCGAGTTTCTCTTGTCTCTTTTCTTTTAATACTTCCAACTTCTGTTTGTTTTTTGAATTTTTGATGTTTTACGATACTGATCGATAATTTTTTTCAGGTGTATGGTGGGGAAGCTAGGATCTTGACTTTACGAAGTTTATTTCCACTAATGGAAGAAGAGCCTGGCATCCTCAGAAGAAAGAGCTGCAATTAAAGGGAAGGCTTCCTTATTAGCTGCACAATGATATTATTTAGTAGATTGGTGAATAAGTTAAGTTTACGGTTTTAGGAGTCTTATTTCTTTGTTATTTGCAGTTGAATATGAAATAAGAAATTGATTGACCCTTGTGAGTTTTATCGAGAGAGTATCTCATTTATTCTTCTCACTCGTACGTTTTCCTACATCATCAAATGAGCATAGTTGTTCAAAAAATATTAGCGTTTGATCAAACTCACGCCATTTTTTTTCTAGCATATCTAATAAAAGCTCTTGATAACTGCTCACTCGCTTCAAGTATGACAAAATTTAGATGAAAATACACAGAGCAGGTATTTGTTCAATGCTTATAGCAGTTCTGATTATATTGACCAATTTGTAAAGATTTTAAGACATCATTGGATTATTGTCACTGTATCTCACAATTTTGATATCCATTACCAGTTCATAGAAGATTACCGTAAACAGGTGATTGATATCAAAAGTTCACACCCACAAACACCAAAAAAACAGTCACGAAAGTGATTCCTTATATAAACACATTTAACTCACCACAGAACTACCAAAAAAGTCTCCCCACACTAAAAAAAAAAAAAGATAATCACTTTTCATGCTCAGACACCTGCAAATACACCATCTGTGTGTACCCATTAAAAACCGACCTCTCGAGCCGTGCTAGCCCAAGCCTCTGAAACAAACCATACTTACCATCCTCCACAATAGGTCTACTCGTACGGGCTGGGTCATACCTTGTCTGGTGAGTCAGCGAAGGGCCTGCGACAGGTGGCAGCTCCCAGTAACTTTCGAGCACAGACTCCACAAATCGGCTGTTCCGAAAATGCTCGGCAAAAGTGATGGCCTTGTTGCTGTGGTTGAAATCGTCACGCATGAAACCTCTTACGCCCCACCAAGCGTCCCCGGGCCCACAAAGCTCGTCTGTGTCCACAGCTTTCTCCCAAAACTTCTTTCTTCTGTATCTTGTCCGAGCCTCGTCACTTTCTTTGAAGCAACTATGGCCGCCGCCTGATGGAAAACGGACTTATTTATTATAAGTGTATGACATGGACATCATCAAGTCCATGATTAAGTGAAAACATAATTATGTATGAAGTATGATGGATGAGAAATGAACAACACCACATAATTCTACTTTTTCTTATACTTAGGCGTTCTCCTGAATTTTTGCTTCAAAATATCAAGGAAGAAACTTCGGGATAAGATTATGCAGATCTATCATTACCATAAAACAGTTGATGTATAGTGAAAAAAAAAATGCATGCATTTCCACAGACCCCATGCTTATGTTATAGATACTAAAATTCATAGTCTTCAAAGTATTACAGACAAGAAATTCATGAGATGGAAGGGAGAACATACCTCTAATATAAAATTGATCACATATTTGCCTGAAGGAATAGTGGTCTCCTGTTCCAGTATCATAGTTGTCCTCAAAAACCAGATGTTTGAACCCAGCTTTCAGTGCTTGCTTCAATCTATCCATTAATATATCAAAGCAGAACATTT